CTTTCTACCAGCAGTTTTAAGTTCTAAAATTATTGTGAAGGCCCACCTGCTTTCTTATTTAGAATCCAAGAATAGCATCTTGCTACTGAAAGTGTGTTAGGGGCCACTCACACAGGACACATTCTGTATGAACGGCCCCTAACTCTACCCCCCAAATGACTGCATGTCCTCTGACAATAACAATTTGTCTGATGTGTTGATATACTGCCATGCCATGTTTAAAATTCCTGTGCTGAGTAGGGCTCTATTTCAGGAATAGCATCGCTGCAGACATATAACACCAAATGCAGACTAACATTTGACACTAAATATAATAGGATACAAGGCATTCTGTATTGTTATCACACAGGGCGTTTAAGAGTGTTTCCCATTCCCAACCCTGCTTCTGGAGGCACAACAACAGTACACGTTTTCAAACTCAAACCCACCTGATTCAACTCGAGAGCTCGATGGTGGACTCCAAGACCTCAAACGGATGAATCAGATAAGGAGACATCCAAAAATCTTTACTGTTGGTGTGCCTCCAAGAACAGGGTTCGGAAACACTTTATTTTGCAGTCTCGTTACATGTTAGAAGTAAAATTACATGAAACTAACCTTAAACCTAGCCTTATAGTAAGTACATATTGTTAATTAATATTACTCAGTATTTAAATGTATAATTACACAAGAAACTTTAAAATAAAGTAATTGACACTGGCTGAAAAAATACAAAAATCACTGAACAATGAAGTCACTGAACACAACTTGTAAATACAAATTTGAGGTCACATATCTGTTAAATTGTCTAATAATATCTTAATGATTTTTACTTACATGAAAACACAATAACAATATACACATTTGATAACATTAAATTATATAATATTAAATTAATAAATTACCAAACATTCATAATTGACACTGACTGAAAAATGCAAAAATCTTTTTTTTGTCAATAATTGAGTCACTGAACAAAGCTTGTAAATAAATAATTTGAGTACATTTTGTGTGAAATAAATCTAATTTTTAGCAATTTTGTGGACATCTCTATATCTATCTATCTGTAAAATAATCTAATAATATCTGATTTTTAATTACATGAAAATAGCATATCAAATTTAAATATACAAAAATAAATATTTACATAATTTCTAAATAATATAGTAATAACAATTTGATATTACATTATATAATATTACATTATATATAAACTATTACTTAATAACAATGTAATTAATATAATTTAATGATAGTAAATGAAATATATTCGTATGTATACTTAATAATTACATGCAAATGCATATTAAATGTATTAATATTTACAGTAAACAAAATCTAAATAATATTTATTTATAACTTCTAAGTCAATAATACACAGATTTGCTATCATTCAATTATAACATTAAAGTGTATACATTATTAAACAATTTACATGATTTAATAATATGATTTAATTATAGCAAATGAAATGAATCGTTATGAATTTATCAGGCATTTACAGAAGGAAAATGGCCTCCAGTGTGATTGCCACATGTCATGGAGTCTATGCAGGCACAAACACAGCCACACCCTGGTCCCTGATGATGCTGCTTTTCTGGGAAGGTGGTGGGAGAGAGACGTTGGCTCTTGCTGCCAAGTGTGTGTGCTGTTCGTATGTGCATGTGTTAATGTGTGATGCATAGGCAATGAGTATGGGGTGGGTTTTGGAGGGGAAAACCAAAGTTAATGAGCGATACTTTAACACCCAATCCCCCTTCTGGCTAGTCATGTTTCTGTCTGGATTAAATACATGAATCCAAACACCCCTCCTCTAACTCTCGAATACATGCATCCTCCCTGTTTTGCGCTGCAGGCCCAGATGAAAAAAACACACAACAGATGGCTTAGCAGCCTCTACAAGGGCATCTAGCCGTCTACATGCAGTTAGTTGGCAATGGAAAGCATCGCACAAAATGTGTTCCAGTGTGCGTGCATTCTGAAATGCTTGCAGTGAGTGCTACCATCGCCCGCTCGACTGTAGCTCTAGCTGACTTGTTACCATGGTAACACACTTTGGATGTCACCTGTCCAGGAGGCAGCGCATGCACACATACTGTACATGTATGCACTGAGCACACATTGTGCACAAAGCATGAAACACCATGTTTTATATGCAAGCTAGCACACAATAAATCTTGACAGGGTTATCCGTCCTGTCATGGTCTTGTGTCACACCGAGAGGGGTTTATTATATGATAATGACAGAATATCTGTACATTTTGAACAGCTACTTACCAAATAAAACAATTCATGGATTTAGATATAGAGATTTAAGACTGTTACATTATCCAGTCCCTCCAGGATTTCGTGGGACTTTTTTCAGATTTTTGCGGCCTAAAATTACCAATTTTGCTGCGGCTTTTCTCAAAATTTGTGGCATATCTTATTGTTTTGCAGTGAAAATATACCTTTTATTACTGTCATTCATAATGTTCATTCATAATTTAATAAATACAAAAATATATATATTAGGGAGTGGAAATGGCTGATAAGCCTATAAGTACTTCTCTGCAGCCACCTACTAGTGATAATTTAATGTATTTTTTATTTTTAAATAAGTCTTTGTATACATTATGAAACTTTTAGTTTTATAAATGGGGGCAACCTATGAAGGATGAACAAATAATGTCATCACATTAAAAATAACTTTCAAATTCGCTAATACTTCAAGCTTTGAAGTGCTGGGAAAAGTTGTGTGAAGCATTTAAAAACACTTGAAAACATTAGACCATTTCTGCCACAAGTTGTTCCTGTAGTTTTACTATGTTAAATCCAATGATGAATGGTGGTGAATTGTGTTTATTGAACAATGTTTTCCTGGTTTCCACATCCGCGGCATTTGTTCTGATATCTGTAGCTTTAACAGAATTCTGCGCCGAATGCTTCTCACAAGATTTCACAGATATGTTATTGATTCTGCGGTGAATTGAACTACTTTCTTCACTGTATCTCCCAGCGCTGTGTATAATGGTGTCGCGTGATCGAGATCAGCCCGTGGCTCCAGACCGAGTAGATAAACGGTCTGCGCTGCGTAGTTCCGCTTTCAGTTTGTTTGTCCAATGTAGCTCTTGTAAATCGGTCATGATGAGAACGCAAGGCTGTTCATTCCATTTTTGGAACTCCTGTTTACACTTGGTATTAAGATGTGTTTTGGTAGATCGGATCACAAGTGGACAACGCTAAATAAAAGTGTAAAACGTTTTGAGCTTATCCACTTTCGACCACTTCCAGAGGTAGTCGAAAACGCATTCGACCGGATTGCTTTTCGTGGTGTAGACGCTAATGTGGTCGAATGCATTCGAGCAGTCACAAAAGACTGCTTAATGACCCAAGACGTACAAGGACGTGCGCTTATCAGACGGGATTTAAAGGGGTCATATGATGCAATTCAAATTTTTCCTTTCTCTTTGGAGTGTTACAAGCTCTTGGTGCATAAAGAAGATCTGTAAAGTTGCAACGACTAAAGTCTCAAATCCAAAGAGATATTCTTTATCAAAGTTAAGAGTCAATTACGCCTACCTAAAATGGCTCGTTCTAACACGCCCCCATGTCTACGTCACGATGTGGGAAGATTTGCA